AAACAGTTGTGAAAGAGACAAAGGGGAGAGTTAGGACTAAGGAGGTTTGAGCAATGCTTTCTGTAAACCAAAGCAGCTAGGTGGGTTTAATCATTATTAAGGTGATGATGTTTTCTACTGAAGGGACTGGGAATTCTGGAAAAAGCTTATGCTCACAGTGAAGCTGTCTTACCCAAAAACTCTGTCGAGCTCATTGATAGAGAGGCCACAGTCTGTAGATTCCAAAGATGTTGTCATCATTAGGTTCTGGGTCATAGAACCAAAGAGGAAATGCCCTGTATTGTAATAATTATTCTGTAGACACAAACTTTTTAATCAGCACAGCAACTCTTGGAATCCCCAAGGCGGGGAAGTGCTTTCTTTTCCCCAAAGAATGACCTCTTTCTGTGATCTTTACTGCTCTGCAACATGGGATTGCTGGCAAACAGTTGTAGTCTATGGAGAAAGAGCCTGGTGGGTCACTTGTGTGTCTCTCCTCGGAGAACTCTTTCTCAGCCTCCCTGTGCTTTTAATAAGTTCATACTGAATGTAACTGACTTGAAATTTATTTTTCCTGCTACAAACAAATGCATTCTCACCTTTTCTCTGTACGTTTTATGATTCTGATTTTACTGTTTTCTCTTTCTGAAATGGTTGGCTCTGTCCCTTAGTTTGTGTGTGTATCTGATAAATTTTTGCTTAAAGGTGTCTGTGATAAATCATCTAGCAATGATGAAATGCCTCTGGAGTTTAGAGGTGTTTTACACTTCCTGGGGATATTTTTGTGTGTGTGTGACCTTAACTTGGTGCAAAGTGGATGGATTGTTAGCAAGCACAGCTTTTTTGCTTCCATCATGTTATGAAGGAGATTTGAAGAGATCTAGGGTGTTACGGTGGGACTTTCCTTCACCTTCTTTCAGAAGGGCAGCCATTCTTTGGCCTCATCCAAAGACTTGTCCAAAAGTGATTTTTCTATTTCAACATCAGTTCATCTGTTTGTCATTCTCCACCCCTCCGCCCCAGCTGTCTTCACCTCTCTCTGTGTGTGTGCTATGTTTTGAGAGCATCATTGTTCTGTTTTGGTGAAGGCTCTTTGTAGCCTTGCCTGAAAGTGCAGAGAGGGAAGAGTGGAGGGGAGAACATAATTCCAGAGTTTTAGGTGGTACCTCACTCATTTTTTGGCACAAAAGGACCTCTTGTATATTCTAGCTGTCCGATGATCTCTTAATCCTCTGAAAGTGACTTGCCCTCTATTGGAGGAGTAGATTATCAGGAGAGAGTTCATATCATGTGGTGTTTTTGTATGCATAGCTATATATTATCTACTTAAATGCATGTGCAAGCACACCTGGAAACCTCCCTCTTGCAGTTTTATTTTAGCAGATATTTGAAGTATACAGTTGTGTGGGTAACTACAGCACAGATTTCCTTATCACATAGTCCTCATGCCTCTCATTTTTTCCTATTCTGCTCCATGATCCCCAGTAAACCTGTTATTTTCTATAAATCTCTCATTATCATATCCACAAATTGGTGGGGAATTCCCTGGAGGTGCAGCTACTTTGAAGAGCAAGTGGAAGAGCTGAAGAGAAAGTCATGTAGCAGCATAAGTTTATGTGTACTTATTATTAAGGAACAATAACCTTAAGGCAATGAGAGTTCTCAGTTGTGAGTCAACATGACAATTCAGGGTAGTTTAGATAAGGCTGTTCTGTAATCTCTCTTTACATCAGTGAATTAAGTCTATGTTATATTAAGAGTGCATTTGCTAGTCAAAAGTAAAAGTACTGTGACTATAATTTACTGTTCTTTTTATGTATTTTTTCCTGTAAATAAGAAGAAAAGGCTATTTTAAATGTAAAATTGCTGACAATTTTTTGAGCAGTTCCACTTTAAGAACTTCGTGTTTATTTATTTGTATTAATATAAATAGGTCCAACTTGAAGGTTGGCTCTGCTTTAATCAGGGGTTTGGACTAGTTGACCTCCAGAAGAGAGGCTTTGAGTGGGGGAGGCTATATGCACATACATATTAGTTGCTTCCATCATGATTTATCTGGCTTTTATTTATCTGGCTTTTAATGAATATTCTGTATAGAAAGAGGTAAGCAAGGAGGACCACATTCTTTTTTCTGTCTCTAATTTCAGGTTTTTGTCATTATGTATTTAAAACAGTTTTGTTTACTTAAATGAGTTAAACTAGTTATCTCTAGGATACTAACATACACAAAACAGAAATCCTAAAATACGTAGCAGTTTTGTCATCTAAGAAAGAGATGATCTCCAGTGTTGTGAGCACAGATTTAAAATATGAGCTAATACGAGATTATGTCAGAATGTATTCTTTTAATATTTAATATTCTGTTTTTACAGATAAGTTATGCATGTTTATCAAAGGACAGATATGTTTTAAGTGTTTTATATGCTCTGTTTAGAAATAAATTGTTATCAGATTATCAACAGATAATGAAAAAAAACCCCATTTATTTCATTTGAAGAGGTAAATGCCAGCCCCATTTTTAAAGGAAGACTGTAATGCAACTCAGCAAATCAGTCACTTTTATTAGCACTAGGTTAATCAGTACATTCTTTACTAGTAATATGTACTAGTTTCATATTGTTCAACACTGCTTCTGCTGTGTACTCTTGAGTCAGTGTGACAAGTCCCAGTGCCAAAATTTTCCTGTTCATGGACAAAAGTACTGAGGCATGCATTGCAAGTATCATGCTTTGCTCTGTCTTCTTGCCATTAGTTTTAACATTTATTCCCCTTTTGTCTTAGCAATGCGGATAATAATTTCTTTGCAAGCAACTACTTAGGGAACGATGCAGCAATTTTTTAAAAGGTTTGTATGCATTGTCAGTAGAAGATGCTGGACTAAGTATCTTTTCACAGTGCAGTTTCTTACCAGTATAGATTTGAGATAGGTGGTGTTTTGGTTTTTTTTTATTTTAAAAACATTGATTTTAGCTCAAAGTGCTTTATGGCATCACTGTATAAGATGACTTCTTGAGTAGTAATAGAGAACTGGAGACTAGGGTTAATGGCTGTGGTTTTTATTTACACACCTTTTTTCAAAGCGAGGGAGTAGAACATGCCAGATTCTGTCCACGTTGTTGAAGGGCAGCCTGTTTGTGTCTGATACACTAGAGCAATTGTTCAAACATAGATTATAAAGAGAATATGAGCCCTGTAACATTAGGCAAGGTTAGTTGCCTTTTTGAGTTACGTTTCACATAAATATTAGTTATGCAAGCTGAGAGCTGTCAAAGGCTGAGATAACATGTTCACCTGAGTTTTAAGAAGCTATTCAAACATTTCCATGGGCTTAAAAATAGATGGAGTGTGTCTTCTATTTGCACGTGTGCAGGTTGTTTTTTTGTTTGTTTTTTGAAAACCTTTCACTTCTAAGTGAACCTACGCATTTTCAAATCTACAATCAATGCCTCTTTCACACTAGCTTGATGAAAAAAAGGCAACGTCTGGCAGTTAGTTGTTAAATAAAATGTCATTTATACCACAATGAATTAAGACCAGTTCAGTCTTCTTAACAAGTAATTTACTGTATTATGTGTGTCATAGTCTCGATCATGACTTTGATTTTTTTGATATATGGAGCATTGTGGAATATTCACAACAGTGTTAGAGTTACGGGCATTACTGTGCTTCCCATGAAAGATAATTTGTGCTTGGCAAAGTATGTACCAAGCCATCCAAGCTGATTTGGCAGAATCAAGTAAGTAATGCGATAAGATTATTTACACTCTTTTCTTCTTCCTGTTACTTACTTGTATGCTCCAGTTTGCCAGCCATAACCTTTGTCTAGATTAATAGACGGAAGATGGAAGGGCAGTGACCAAAGACTCTGAAATTCTGTAATGAAAAGGAGATGAGAAGATTGTTTATGCTTTCTCACACACAGAAGATGATTTATTTGTGATTTGGAGGATGTAATCCCTGATTTAGATATACAAGCTAATTTGTACAAGGAAGATTATTTCTTAGGCATCGAAGCTTAGTATAACAGGTGAAGAGGGTGTTGCTGTATTTTGAGGGGTTTTTTTAGTAAGAGAAAATGCTAGGTATAATACCTAGGCTTTTTATTGACATAACTGTATTTTAGAAAGACTTTTGATTTTTGCTTTAAATACTTCTAGAACACATTATTCCACCACCTTTAAAAATTGAACAGCGATATCCTATGCAGAAAAAGCAAGTAAGAGAGCGGGATTCCAGGGTAATTTTTTCTTTTTTAAGATGGTATTGTATTTTTTTTAGAATTTCTTTTGGTCCTAGTTTCATTGTTTGCACTTATATAACAATTTTCATGTAGAGCTGAAGACTTCTTTAGAGGGAAGACAGGAGACAGAAAATAGTCATGTAAGCACGTTCCTGTCAGAATTAGGAACAGATGTCAGGTTCATAGTTACTCCAGCTTCTTCCTTTAATAGGTAGGCAATGTAGAAGAGAATGCTTGTGTTTGTTATCCTTGTGTGGTTTGTTACTGATTTTTTAAAGTGAATATTTTTCTTTCC